AAATCTTTTTGTTCACTTGCCCAAGGGCCATTTTTGTGATGAGGGTATACAATCAAACCTAAATCAATAATGCATGTGTGTTTTGAGTACTGCATTTAAAACAAACTAAAAAATTTCTGCCACGTGGATTTTTGTTTCATTGCTAACACATTCCCAAAGTTAAAAAAATAAACAAACAAACAAAAAAACCAAAACTTTTTTTTTTTCCCAAAATTCTTTATAACAAGTTGATAGGGAATCACAGACTCTAATTTTGTGTTTGGAAACCAAAAAATAATATAAACGGCATCCAGTGACAACAGTCTCTAAAAATGAGTGTTTTTAGGATATTAGTAACTGCCTTGTTAATTGTGGAAGAGATCTGAAACTTACTATTGGGTTGCCGGAAAAGTCATGACATATTTTTTCTGTTTTTCGTTGCAAAAATGCATAATGACTTTTCTGAAAACCCAATAGTTAATACAGTAGAATTTTTAACAAGTCTCAACATTTTCTTAATGTCAAGAGAGGTGCCATATTGACCACACAGCCTGATAACACTTCACCTCCATGGCCCACAGGTTTCTCAGAAAGAGAAGGCAAGGGCTTGTCTGCTCAGCATATGACTGGGTACTGCAGATGTTTATGAAGAACATCAAGGACCACGTCAACAGAAAATTATCCTATTTTCTCAGTTCATAACTCATGAAAATAAATACTGTTTCAAATTAAATCCTGATGGCAATTATTTTTATCTATTAAATTGGGCCTCACTATATAAAACTCATGGTAGTAATTCATGGAACACAAGGGCTTCTGAGAGGCAGTATGTAGAACACATGTGGTTATAAGAACTTTTCTGAGACCAGACTTCCCAGGTCAGAGTCCAGCTATGTCACTAAGTAACCAAATGTAACCATGGGCAAATTACTTAAGCCGCCTATGCTTCAATGTCCTTATCAGTAAAATGGGGATAATACTAATACCTTGCTCATAAGAGTATTATGAAGATTAACTGTGTTAATACAATTAAAATTCTTAGAACAAGGCCAGACACATGGTAAGTACTCCATAAAATTTAGCCATTATTATTCACATTAGAAATCTGTCTGTAAGCATCTTATTTCACTTATTAAACATATTTTAAAAAGAAAATGCCTGCTTCCTTCAACTGGTTGATCTTACTAGATATCTACAATAGTTCTCTCATCCTGTGTTTTTTTATGCCACACACACACTCACAACAATCACCACCACCGCAATGGTGATCATAACTTAATTTTGATGACCAGAGTTCTTATTTTGTCTGAACCATTTACCAGCTCCATAATTCTGCACAAGTCATTCTCAAATTTCAGAGCCATCATTTCTTTTCCTGTGAAAGAGGAATAATAGTACCTACTTCATGTGGTTTAAAGCCACTGTGCAAACAGTGTTATTATTATACGTTCAAGATCCATTGACGATTCATAAAGTAGACATCCTAATTCTATATTCCAGAATCCAAAGTATCTCAAGTATCACAATAGCATTTTTTGGCTTCAAAGCTGACAGAGTCACTCTGAAGACAGTATCTTTAAAAGGATAAATACAAAGAGAGGTACCATACAAGTAGCTTCCTGATGTGGCGCATACCAGGCAAGCAAAGAAGCCTCTGGAACCTGAGATGTCATAGCAGGGGCCCCCCATAACCCATTTACATGATAAATAACCATATTATCACCCTTATCTTGAATCCTTTTTGAGTCTGTGTAATACTATGGCCCCATCTCCACTGCTCCTACAGATCCACACCCTGACAAATGCCTGAACTAATATTTACCCTCTCACAAAGACGTAATGTAGATGCAATTGACTGACAGTTGTCAACTTTTTTTTTAAACATCATGACATATACCTGTGAATACATACCTGCCGTCTACTCCTTTTTGGTCTTGGCTTCAAAATAAATTTTGGTGGAGTGATGTTTATCTGTTGGAATTCTGAAAGGAAATAAATATAAATAAAATTGAACTTAGTGCATTACTCTATGTTGCTTTCTTACAAGGCAATCAAAGTTTTACCAGCCCTTCCAATTATAAATTATATAATTATACCTTAATTATTGTTAATAATTGTGATTATCGACAATCAATTATAAATTATAATTATATAGCTGTATGATATTATGAATTTTATAATTATAATGTTGCACTTAATGATAATATAGAACATTAATTAGTGTGTTCACATTTACGCTACATAAATATATCACGAATAAATACCACTTTAATGAGGCATCTAAAATAGTCAAACTCATAGAGGCAGAAAGTAGAATGGTGGCTGCCAGGGGCTAAGGGAAGGGGAAACAGGAAGCTGTTGGTCAACGGGTACTAAGTTTCAGTTGTACACGATGAGGAAATCCTTCCTCCAGAAGATCTATTGTGCAGCAGCAGCTGTAGTTAGTGCCTGTAGTCAGCAACACTATACTGTGTACTTAAAATTGTTACGAGTGTAGATCTTATGCTAAGTTCCCATCACTAATAACAATGAGAGAGAGAGAGAGGGAGGACACTTTTAGAATTGATGGATATGCTTATGGTGATGATTTCATGGATGTATATGTATCTCCGAACTCATCAAGTTGTGTGCATTAATTATGTATAGCTTTTTGTATGTCCATTGTACCTCAATAAAGTGTTTTTTCTAAAAACCTCTAGAGAGGGCCTGCAGCCTGTGTTTCGGAAGCATGCTAAAGTTTGGAATGCTGTTATATAGCTAAACATAGACCTACCTTACAACCCTATAATTTCACTCCTAGGTATTTCACAAAGAAATATAAACATGTATCCCAAAAAAAAATTTTTACAAGAATGTCCATGTTATTTTATTCATAAATAGCCAAAAATTGGAAACAACCCAAATGTCCATCAGCAGACTAGATTAAAAAATTGTGGTATATTCATACAATAAAACATAGTAATTTAGAAGAATGAACTATTGCTACCCTGACAACCTAAATTTCATAGGCATATGCTAAAGGAAAAGAGGCGGGGCATAATACATGATCCCATTTGTATAAAGCTCTACATACAACAGGCTAAATTAATCTATGGCCAAATAAAATAAGTCAGAAAGGGGACCGAAGAAATGGAAGGCACTGACTGGGACGCGACACAAAGGAAGTTACTGGGGTAATGGGAATACGCTATAGCTCACCAAGGATGTATGTATGTGTCAAAACTCATCGAACAGCACACAAAATTTGTGTATTTCACTGTAGTAATTTTTAAAAAGCTGAATGATAAGTGGTCCATAGGAAATCAATAAGCTTTTCTCAAAATGTATTCCTAGGACACTTGTCATGTGAAACAAAAGGTTCTACCGTCAAACAAGAGAACACCTGATCATAATCTATATCTGGGAAATACATAACGCATTGCAAGACAAGGTAATGGTAACCCATAACCCAGTGAGACTTTATTAAACTAAAAATAAATAAGCTTACTTTTGAGCTTATCTCACAAAATTGCAGTTTTCATGTTTATTTGCATATTTATTGTTTTCTTCTAAGCTATCATAGCAAATCTAAGCATCTTGAAATTCAAACACTCTCAAAATTGACAGTGCCAGCTTCTGATGAGAAAAGAAAACCAGAAACAAATTGAGACAGACCTGAATTTTCAAAAAATATGTTCAAAACTCATTTTTAATACCAGCAAAACTGCCAAGTCATTTCTAAAGTTTTTGTTGAAAAGAAGTCGTAAGCAAAGTTTTTAAAAAATGATAAGAGTGTATCATGGCAAGCCTACAATAAAGTCCTTGGGGGGGGGATTTTATGTATTACTTTAAATATTAATTAATGCTCATTTCTTCCAGTAATATCTATTAGATTGTAATTTTATTCTCAGGCAGCTAGTCATGATTTATTTTCCTCCTATAATAGGGATTGTAAAAAGTTCTATAAAGTAACTGAAGGAGCAGTCTAAAGTTTCTGTGTAAAGTAAAAGCATCTATATGCCCCTTTGCAAAATTTTCAAAATAGGTCCTTCTATCCCTTGGAAGCAGGAGGGAAGGGGTGGGTTTTACTTCTCTTTAAGGGAACTGCAGAAGGTCAGGAGTCACAAATTTATTTCAGAGAGGAAGGGGTGTTAGAAAACACTGATTTAATTTTCTGACAAGGAGACAGTATAAACTTTTAAGTCATTTTCCTAAGCAGTAGTTTAGGATTTGCTTTCCGTCTAGTAATTTTTTCCATTTGCCCTTGTGCCTCTCGCCCAGCAAACATGCTCATTGTAGCAGCATAATCCAAACCCCCACTCCGTCTTTTATAAGCTGTGGGACTCTGGGAAAGACAAACTAGCAGAGCTTCTGTTTCTTCATCTATGAAATGAAAATAATTGTATCAATCTCACAGAACTGTCACAAAGATTAAAGTGAGATTACAGTTCAGAATGTGCTATGGCCATGGTCAGGTCTCACTAAATACGGGGGGAAACATCTCCACAGCAGATATTCAGAGCATGCCCTGCCTTCGGAAGGAGAACAAATGAGTCCAGCACAGCACTCGGGATAATCAGTTCCAGGGCCAAAGAATGAAGGCTCTGCCCGAGTTGTCACGTAACCATATGGATGCAGCTCTCTAATCAACATCTATAAATAAATGGGCTTATACATGCACATGAGCAGAAAAGACTAATTTCACAAATAGCACATAATAATAAAAATGTTAATCTATAACAGTTCCTTCTTAAAATGCCAGGGCATAATGAGGAAAACAACAAATAAGAAAATGATTAAGAGTTCGTACCTATGTTTACAAACTCAGTGTTTCACAAAAAGTGAATTTTTAGGACCGGCCGAGTGGCTCAGTTGGTTAAGAGCGTGAGTTCTGAGCAACAGGGCCGCCGGTTCGATTCCCACATGGGCCAGTGAGTTGCGCCAGAGCTGAGCTGCCAACAGGTGACAGGATGGCTCAGCTGGTGAGAGCACCTGCTCCTAACAACAAGGTTGACGGTTGGACTCCCACATGGGATGGTGGCTACGCCCACCCGCAACTAAGATTGAACACAGCACCTTGAGCTGAGCGGTCGTGAGCTGCCGATGGGCAGCTCAATGGCACCTGAACTTGGAGCTGGGCTAGCTGCGCCCTCCACAACTAAGATTGAAGAACAACAACGTGGGTTTTCCCCGTCCCCAATTCCTCAACACTGTTCCCCTTCCCCAATTCCCCAATTCCCCAATAAAATATTTTTTTAAAGTGAATTTTTATATATTATATCTATGCAGACCAAATTTTGCTCTAGCATTATTTCTCCTGTAGTACCTATCTTTGACTCTTATAATTTTAAAAAGTTTTCCTTCTATTTGCTGAAGCGATATCTTTCCAAGCTCATCTGCTGTAAACATGAGCTGGTCGGTCTGCATTTTATCCTCTCTCTTGATGGCACTTCACTTTCTTTCTAAAACTGTTATGAGCAGTCATGGGCTAATGATATTCCACATATAGATTAGCTCTAAAAGCACTAAAGTAAATTATTCAAGTCGTCTTTTTTTAAGTCACGATAAGAATAATACCATACCCGATGGAAGATCATCCAATGGAAATTCAAACAGTTTGGATTTGTAAACCGAATGAAAATGGAAATCCTCCTGAAACAACACAAACAACAGAGATTAAGGATGTACTTCCAGGTATCTCCAGCCTCAGGCAAGCAGGAGAAGCGGTGACCCTTAGAAGAACCATAAGTTTTTAAAAAATTATTATTAGTAGGGCCGGCCGAGTAGCTCAGTTGGTTAAGCACTCGCTCAAGGGTTTGAGCTCTGAGCAACAGTGGTTCAAGTCTGGCCTGAGCTGAGCTGCTGCTGAGCTGCCAACAGGTGGCAGGATGGCTCAGCTAAAAAAAAAAAAAAGTGAGGATGAAAAATTACTATTAGTTTCAGGTGCACAAAACAATGTAATAGTTAGATATTTACACCCCTCACAAAGTGATAATTCCCTTCCCCCAATCTACTACCCCTCTGACATCGTATTAAGCTGTTACAATTCCAATGACTCTATTCCTTATGCTGTACTCCACATTCCATGACTATATATTAATACATATATTTGATTATAGTTGACATTCAATGTTATTCAGCTTCAGCTTCAGGTGTACAGTGCAGTGGTCAGGCCTCTACACCGTCCATACAGTGGTCTCCACATTCTCCTGGGTTTAAAGAGGGTTGAGCCATTGCATAGCCCTTGCCACTCACTCCTGTATTCTCCCAGCACCAGAGTGATATCCTTTTAGAAGCAAAATGCCTTCACAGACCGAGAAGCCAGAGCCTGCAGTAATGGAGAATAAATGAATGGCACTATCTCCCAAGGAGAAGTAAGACATCTGGGTAAGTGGGTTAATGTTTTTTATGGCTGGTTCCTTTCCACGGATCCCTGACCGCCTTTCAGAGCCAGCCAGCTCTGCCAGGCAACGGCTGCAGCGCTAAGGAGCTCTTCTGGGACTGGGAAGCACACTGACGTGGACGGCAGGTGCCCAAATGCAATGGCACTCCAAAACTCAAGGGTTACACAAAGTTAAAAAGCCATGTTTCATCTAAGAGAAATGAATGAAAATCCAAATAACTTCATCTGGCTTCATTCAATTACTAAAATTATAAGAAATACCATAAACAGTCAAGTTTCATGATATTATCTTTAAAAAAAAATCATACAGTCCAACAAAGTGACAGGACAGCAGGCAGTGGGGACCCAGAAAATAAAACACAATACAGATAGTTTTCCAAACAAGGTTTATTATGGGTAGCAAAACAATGTACAGTTCTTGAAATTATTTGCCTCTCTAAGTGTTGGACGAATGTTCCATTGCACAAGGAAGAATATTTGTATGTACAGAGCTAGAATGGAAGTGGATTACGTTGATCTGTAGTCTATAATATTAACTTAATCCTTTTCTAATTTGTGGGAAATGACTATTTCAACTAAAGTGAGGGAAGAATTGAGAAAACCTAGATTTCTCTCAACTTCATCAGCCCAGGGCTTTAAAGACAATGGGTAACAGAGAAAAATATTGAATCTGGAAAAGTAACGGGGATGGAAAATGAAAAATCCCATATCTGTGGTTTTGATCTGTTACAGAATAAGTGTCGTGTCCCCCCAAAATTCATATGGTGAAGCCCTAACTCCCAGTGTGACTATATTTGGAGATAGGGTCTGTGAGGTAATGATAAAGGTTAAAGGAGGTTCTAAGGGTGGAGCCCTAATCCAGCAGGGCTGGTGCCCTTATAAGAGGAGGAAGGAACAACACAGCTCGCTCTCTCTGCCATGTGAGGACGTAACGGGAAGGCCGTGCAAGGCGAGAGCCCTCAACCAAGACACCAACCCTGCTGACAACTTGATCTTAGACTTCCAGTCGTCAGAACTGGGAGAAACTAAATTTGTGTTGTTTAAGATGCCCAGTATTTTGTAATGGCGGCCTGAGCAGACTAAGACAGATCACAGCACATTATGGGAGAGACAGAAATGAAGGCTTCAGAATACCTCAGAGGGAAAGTGTTTCCAACATAAGGAGGAGTAAGAGACAGATGAAAGCAATAAAAAAAACAAACCCAACATTTGTAGTTCTGACTTATTTATATTTTAATTACACACACACACACACACACACACACACACACACACACACTTACTATCCAGACCCTAAAAATATGAAAATAAAATAGAGCAGAGAGAAAAAAGAGGAGAAAAGAATGCTCAGTTTTCCCATCTGCCACACCAAACAGAAGGAGCACTTACTTGGAAGGTGTCATTTTCTTCTGGCTCAATGAGATAGGTGTGGTTCCCATCGTAGAACATCCCACTGCCAGAAACAAGAGAAGAATTAGGCATGGCTATCAACTCCTGCCTCAGAGCAAAATCGTTTCAAAATCAGCAGCAGAGGACCAGTTTACTTCTCAATACCCTCTTCCAGTCCCACCCATCAGCACCATCACACCACATAGCACACACACACTACATGCTACACCACACACACACACACACACACACACACATGCATGCTTAATTTCACCCCCCCCCCTCTGATTACTCACAAGCAGCAGGGTCTCCTCATCCAGACCCTTCCCCGGGCTAAGAACTGCCATTCTCTAATTGTGATCCATTATTCCTCTTTCCAACATATAATTCTAAAATTTTAATTGCAAATAGTCACCTGGAGACCTTGTAAAAATGCACAATTTTCAGGACCTTCCTCAGATTTCTGGTCTGGGGCTCAGGAAGCTGCATTTTAAACAATCTCCAGGTGATTCTGATGCAGGTTGTCAGGGACTATCCTGTGAACGTCCTACCTGCCACACACCTGGAAGACGCTCTACTAACAAGAGCTGACACATTTTACCAACTTTACACTCATTTAATCTTTTGCACAAATTTATGAGGTTAGGTATAATGACTATCCACATTTTACAAGTAAGGAAACCAAAGCCCAAAAGAGACGAAGTAACTTGCCCAAATTACATAGCCAGTGAGAGCATAGGCAGGAATAGAGCCCAAGCAGATTGGTTCTGGAACTGCCTATCTGTAATCAGCTACACACATTCACTCACTCACTCATTCATTCATTCAGCAGATACTTATAGATAACCTACAATGCACTGCTTAGGTGTTGGGGATACAGTACTGAACAAAACAGACCACTTCTCTGCCCTCAGGGTGCTGATGTGCATTCTAGGGAGGACAGGAAGAATACATCTAATCAACAACTAAATATATATGAGGTGGTGATAAATTCTAGAGGGAAATAAAGCAGGTTAAGGTGCAGTATGTGGTGCCAGCGGATTGGGTGCAGGGGCCAGTGACAGAAGACTGTTGATTTATATAGAGGGTCAGAGCAAGGCTTCACAGAGAAGACGGCATTTAAGCAAAGACTTGGAAGACGTGACCAGATGAGCCATAAGGATCCACATGCAGACAGAATTTCAGCATTAAGCCCTAGGGTGAGAGAATCTCGGCATGTCCCAGGAGCACTGAGCATGAAGTATGGCTGCAGCAGAGTGAGTGAGTGAAGAGTGCCATCAAACGAGATCAGGGCAATCGTGAGGCCATCTTAGGTGGACCCTTCCAATGGCCTGGGCTTTTACTCGGAGAGATGAGGAGCCACTGCAGAGTTCTAAACAGATGGGAAGGATCTCCCTCAAACTTTAAAATAATTGCACCAACAGCTGTGCTACAATAATCTTTAGGACGGCACAGACAGACATGGGGAAATTATTGCAATAACCCAGGCGGAAGAAGATGGTAGCTTAGATATTGGTGGTAATGGAAGAGTTCATGAGGATTGGTCAAATTCGGGCTATTTTTCAAAAGTAGAACCAATGGGATTTATTAATAGATTTGCACTGGAGTGTGCAGAGCCATGTCCGCGAGGACGCCAAGGTTTTGACCGGAGCAACTGGCAAGATGGGACTGCCATTTAATGAGATGAAAAAAGGCTGCAGGAGGAGCAGAATGAGGTGGGTGCAAGGAAGCAGCACGCAGGGAGCGGGGTGCAGGCTGGAGTTCAGTTCCGGACCGCTCAGGCTGAGATGACTATCAGCCAATTGGGAAATCCTCTGGAGGCATTTTAAGTTACAGATGGCCTCAACTCCCACTCAGAAAGATCCTGACAGCTAATCCTTTTAGGAAAACATAGTCTTCCTACTGAAATGGAGCCCTTTATGATGCTGAAGGAATATGTCATATCATCCAGGCATCCGGAGGGCGGGCAAAGCTGTGATCTTTTGCAGTCATTTGTCAGCGTTAGGAGGAAATGACTGCCTGACACCCAAGCTGTTAACCAAGGAACAGTATCTGTCTTTCACTGAAGGCTCGGTAAAACCGGCTACTTCCCCTGAGCTGTAATCATAATGGCCTCCAGCTCTGCCTCCATCCAAATTCTTTCATTCTTGCCTTAACCTCTTCCACATGTCCTCAATGTTTTCCCATACCCTTAGAACGGCTATTCTCACATCTGTAAGGTTTTCAGCCAAAAGTGCACTCTCTGAATCTGGATGACACTGTATTTGGAATTTAAAGATAAACAGATGCAGTTTGTAAGATATTATTGACAATACATGCCTAAGGAATCAAGTGGGATAAGCCCTTTCCAAACAGTAGACCAAATATGGCAGTATGCATTACTCCTGCCCCTGATGAGACCCGGCCAGACTCATCAAGAAAATTGTATAAAACCATTACCCTTTACCAAAGTTCACATGGTAACACTGATTAGGTAGCAAGCAGATTATTTCATTTAACTAGTACTGGGTGTTATTTCCTCATACATTAGGTTAGTGTCCAATGGGAAAATCAGGTATTTTTACTGGGTTTAAACATCATGACACATGTGTAGAGAATGCAGATTCGGATACCATCTCTATCTACAAGATCCTGGGGTTCCCTACATGACAACATGCCATGATTAATTCTTTAACAATTAAAAGGCATATGTTTTATTTGCTTTGTTTGAGGATTGGCCCCTTTCTGTTATATTTATATGAATTCCAATAAGTGTACTGAGTCCAGAACACACAGTATACTTGATAAAAACCTGCAGCTAGGACCAAGTCATTATAAGCCAATTGAACTAAAATTTTAAAAGGCTGCATCAAAAGATGTGAAAGGAAACAGCCGTTCTTAGAAACTGCCACAAGAGGGCAATACACTTACATTTGGTTCCATTCTTTAAGGTTCACATAGTAACAACAGTTTGTCCTCAAGTCAAGCCTACCAGGACCAAAATATTGCCCATTAGTCCTTCAAATTTGAAAAAAATGTGCTCCTGCAGGTTCTTTATGTAAAAGACATAAATCTAATTATTTCCCCCTTTATTCTTTTACTGAATTCAGTAAATCAAGAGAAATGAAAAATCTCAATATGTACTTGGTAATTTATAAAAGATGAGTCATGGATGAAATAATACATGCCATATTTAAATCACTGCCATTGAGACAATATAAATTATTTAATATTTAGTAATACCTCCCCAAAATATTTCTGTTAGTAATTTTTGATCAAAAGGTAAAATCAAGATGAGAATAATAAATAACAAAAAGAAACCAGCGTATCCAGCATACTTATGAAAGTCTAAGAACACCCAAACATACTTGTACACAACCCTGACAGTCTCTAGACACACAGTGAGTTTTCTGTTTATTTTTGTTTAGTTTTAAATGAAGAGGTTTCCGAAGGTAAAAGTAAATGTTACTTAGTTTAAACACCTGAGGCAGGCTCTGAGTTCTCCTGATCTAGTCACTGAAATTTCCTCAAAGTTACTTTTTTATTTTCTTTCAGATGACTTTGTAGGTTTAGAAGCACGTGATGGGTCTTAGGTTTCAGCTCTATCAGAGCCCTTAGGAGGCAGTGGTACCTTCTCTCTGTTCTCACAATATCATGTCCATTTGGAAAACTGGGAGGCAATTTGGAATAAGTATGGGGCCAAATGCTTACCAAGTGACTTTCGGTTGAGATTTTAAGAGAAAGAAGAAAAAAAAAGCCTCGTTTTTTATCACTCTCTCACAATATACATTTGCTGTCACAGTGTCAACAGGACCAGTGTACAATTCCTAGCTAACAGCTGTGCTCATCTTGAGATCAGATATAACAATTTTACTGCCGAAGGGGATTTCAACGTTTGTTTTCCCAGATAAGAAAACTGAGGCCCTCGGGTATTAGGCATGAATTCCTGTTTGTATAAATGTTTCTCTAGTCAAAGAATTTATTCAAAATAAGTAGTCTTTTAGAACAAATAATAGGCACACAGACATCTTCCATGTTCTCAGGCATATGACCTTCTTTTTCTGGTTATTTAACGAAACCTCACACTCTCCTTTCTGCCTCTCACATACCTACTGCCAGAGCCTAACCAGAGGTACCATTTAAGCAAACTAGCTAGATTTTCTGGCCTTTACGTAAACACTAGATCTCTTTCCTTGCTTTCTTTAAGACCTGTCCATCTAACCCCTCTATAGGAATATTCTATCAAACCCCATTCCAGGGCCCACTCCACTTTCTTCCAGTGGCATTTCTCTGGAGCTCATTCTTCAGTGCCCACGTTCAGCTTGTGTTTTTCTCTCTCCAAGAAAACAAATATACCTATCATAGTCCATAGTAGGAAGCTGAGGTAGACTTCATTTCTCCACTAGGCTGAGCTCTTGGGGGCAGGGTTCATTTTCCAATCGCCTTAATATTCATAGTGGCGGGCACACAGCAGATGCTCAATAACGGCTAGCTAAACGAAAATTCCACCTCTCTTCTCTAACTTGGTAACAGATAGGAAGTACTTCAAAGTTGCCAAACAAAATTTATCAAAACTTTATTAAAGTGCTGGCTTGTCCTGTGCCCCCAAAAAAGCGAAACAAATAAGAAGGAACTGAAATGATTTGGCTTAAGTAGAATGCTGAGGAATGACGTGGTGGCTTTGTAAGGATTTACAAAACAAGTGAGAGACGGCCACCTGTGTCTGTATCACCATTATCGACAGGACGGAGGAAGTAGATGTATTCCCCTGTTAAACATCAGCAAACATTCTTTGATAATGAAGTTTATGAGAAAGGAAGCAAGGCCCCAAGGAAGGATGAACTCCGGTCCTTGGAGATTTCTGAGAACAGACAGACCCTCCCAAAGTTTGCTGCTAGGTAGGTGGAATTCTGGCATAAAACGGGGCTAAAACACATGAACACTGAAACACTTGAGGTCACTTGCAGCCTTTCGTCTTTGCGCAAGAAGTCAAACGCTTCCATCTACTGAAATTTCTATTGTCCCACAAAAATATAAAAACTAACATCAAGGAGGAGGAGTGGGAGTACAACTGGTACCCAGGGGCTAAACATCCACAGACACAGAGACCAAAGTTCCCCAAACTACAACTGTCTCAACTTGGGTGAAACTAGAAAAATGCTTCAAATATCACTATCAGGCATCATATTATAATTCCAATGCCCCTGATTCCTGAAACTCTAATTTTAAAATCTGCTAGGTTTATAAACCACAGAGGAGAAAAAGATCAGATCCGTCACTGATTCAAAATTACTTTTCTACATAAAATAGGGATTTCGATCACAGTGCATTCAAAATAAAGAAAGTAAATGATTGAAAGAATGGGTAGTCCAAAAACAACTTGTGGACACTTACTGAAGTCCATGGCATGTTGACAATGCAACAAATGAGGCCGGGTTTCCTCGGATATGGCCCTGGTAGTAACAGTGCTCTCCTCCCTGCAAACAGAAATAAAGAACATAAGCCTTTGCCATCACAGGGAGAACTGGCCGCATCACTGCACAGGTTTCTGCCCACAGTGCACTGCCATATGGAAAGCTCTGCACAATACTTCATTACTCAGGTTAGTATTATCCAACCATTTCTAACGGAATTATTCATAAGCGTTCCCAGGGAGCTGACTCCAAATCAAAAGACTGGGAAATAAAAGTTGACTGAACTCTCCTTTTATGCAGGTGATGAGAGAAGGAACAAAGACACAGGTATGGGAATATACATGTGGCCCTTGCACCAGAATAAGTTTCATCATCTATTTCCCCAGTTCTGAGAAACTCAACCTGGAGAGGCAGCAAGATGATGCTTTCACATAAAGCTCAGTAAAAATGAACATAAATCATTGGAGAGTCACCCAAATAAACTGATTGGAGGAAATGCCTATTTTTGCAGTGTTTATATCAAAACTCGACAAGTCTATAGAAGTCTTTTCTCCAACCAGTAATGGCTTTACTGATAAGCAGTCTAGGGTAGGGTTTGAAATCGAGACGTTTCTTTTAGCAACCAATCACGTTAACTAAATTCCACTGAGAGACTCGTTTCCTTGGAGTAAATGGTCCTGGAAAAAGTAACAGGGGAATCCTGTGCCATCTCAGGATGGTGCCTTGGTCTTTAAATACTTGCTCCTCAGAGTGTGGTCTAGACAGCAGCACTGATATCACAGGAGCTTGTCAGAAAGGCAGAATCTCAGGCCCCACCCTGATCTGCTGTGCCTTAATCAGCATTTTAACAAGGTCCCTAGATGATTCACAAGCACACTAAAGTTTGAGAAGCACTGCTCTCCATGATTTCTCCCCTTCCCCCAACAATCTCCTATTTCTTCAGAAGTTGAAAGCTTCTAGTTAAACTGACCCATTGAGATATGGAAGAGTGAAACAGGACAAACTGATAGAATGGGTGGTGTAAAGGGGGCAAATGTTATGTACTCCGTAGTCTGGCTTAAGGACTAACCCTACTAAAACATTCTGTGCTTGACCAGTATGGGAGAGAACAGGAAGACACAAGGATGTAACAAGGCTGAAGACTTTTTTTTTCACTAAAATTCCAAGGAAGGCAGCCTGGTTACAGACTGCTGCCCCTCAGGAGGTAATCCCCCAAGACTGGGCCAACCTCAGCTTTGGGGAGGGTGTAGAGGGCAGGTAAGATGGTACACAGTAGAAGCCAACCTTGCGACACCTTAAATTCCAGAGGGAGACACTGAGCATCATGAACTGAAGATTATGGATGGATTTGATGGAGGATAAAATAGGTTGGTACTTCAAATGTGGGACAGACAAGGGTGGAACCCAGAAGGCCACAGACTTAAGGATAGAAACAAAGCTGGGCACTGACTCCCTGAGCAGGTTTGGTTTAGTGTAGTGGTTGACAGTGTGAGCTATCAGCAACTTTACTTACTTGCTGTGTAATCTCAAGCAAGTTACAGAACGTCTCTGTATCATCTGTCAAAGGGGAGAAATCATCTCATAGGCAATTGAAGGGCTAATCTGCATAAAGGGCTAAGAATAATGCTTGGCACTTGGTACGCAATAAATGTTTGCTGCTATTATAATTACTGTGTCAATTATTGTCATATTCAATTTATATGCAAAATCCTCACATCAATCCTACAAAGAAATATTGTTTTCTCTATTCTACACAGGAAGTCAACCTCTGAGAGCCAAAGCTGGCATCCTGAGAAGTTGTCAAGTAGGGATGCAAACTTTGTGTGAACATGTTAATGCAAGGCCTGTGTTACTTACTTCCCCGTCACTATTTACAAGTTGGACACAGAATCCATGGGTTATGTAGTGCCAGTCTAAGCATTGCCCTAGACTGATTTTGGGGGATTTTGTTTTGTTTTAATTTGTATTTTGAATAGGGCTCAGAGTACATGTAACATAATGTTAAATATCCTCTGTTCGGGTATTGGTCTGGTGAGCTGTCCATAAGATTAGATTCTAAGTGAATGACAGAGGTCCTTGTGTTTTAAACAACCTTTCCTTCCTGGACACATCTGATTGGACCAGAAATCAACACTCCACCTTTCTATTGGCCAGACATGAAATTGGCCAACAGTCAATGATGTGACCTGGATAGAGACAGACTTCTATCTAAAAGTATTTCCCTATGTTGGATAGTGACTACATAACCCAATCAGATCTCCCTGAGGTCTAAGACACACAGTGAACAGTAGATATTAAGATAGTAGAGAAAAAAAAAAAGATAGAGACAGAGTAGAAACAAAAATGATAATCACAAGAATTGTGGTATCAGGTTAGGGAACAATGGAAGATGACAAGTCTCTGTGTGTGGGGAAAATATGTCAGAAGCAAAGGCATATAAGGAATATTTTATCAATTACAAAAGTTTTGTTTAAAATACCAACTTTTGAAACATGTTATATTAAATCATAAAAAGGACAAAGAATTCATATTTTAAAACAATCCTCCATTATCTCAGGGCTAAATAGATGATTAGATAATGGAAAACAATCTTTCACTAATTTCTGATTCTGAGAAATAGGAGTCAATCCAAAAACAGCATATGACCAGGCCCCATCTGCACAAAAGCCTAACGCTGAAAATGAAGTGAAGAGCTCAATATGGTTGATTCATTATCAAATGTTTCCCTGACACTTCAAGAGAAGCATAAACACCCTGGGGGGTTGGGGGTGGAGGGAAATCTCCTCAATTTGATTATTAAAATGCAAATTTTGAGGCTCTCAACTAGTGGTATATGTAATTTTTCTAAATAATGGTGGAAATTAACTTTTGTGTTGTGATTTTTTTTCAGGAATTAATCACTATAAATCAATATTTAAACTAAGAACGAAAGTAACACAGTTTTATTTTTTTGCTTAACCTACCTGAAAATCTTAGTCCTGGATGAAGGCCTTACTGTGAAAAGGCTTTTTCAATTTATGAAAATATATTATAAAATTATTAAAATAAATTTAATAATTTTATTTTTAATATTTATTTTTAGCCATTATTTTAAAAACAATAAATATTTATAGAAAAAAATTCTAAGACTTCAGGAGGTACATGGTAAAGAGTGAAAAATCTCTACTTCATAGACATTGCTGCAGTTGTTCCTTAAAAGTAAGGATTTTGGACAGATTTTGTGCACCATGTCAGGAATAGTCTATGCATATTTAAGGAAATGTATATACATAGACACAAATACAGATATCCTTTTCAGTGCGCAAATGGGTTTCCACTCTTCACACTGTTCTTCCCCATTTTTTACGGTAAGGTCCTCTGACATCTTTCTATATCAATACTTCATGCTTTCGAAGGTGGCACAATATTTCATTCTAGGAGTGAACAATGATTCATTTAAGCAGTCCTATACTAATGGACATTTACATTATCACCATTTTTTTGCCGCATAAACAATATTGCAACAAACATCCTTTCATATATTTTTTGTGCACTTCTATCAGTATATGTGTAGAATAGATTTCTAGACGTGAACCTGATAGGCCAAAGAATATGTACATCTAAAATTTTAATAGCTACTTTGAAGGGCAAATATAATTGTATTTCTTTGCACTTAACATCTGTTTTAAAAGACGTACCTTAGAAAATAGTAAACTGCGGGCCGGCTGAGTGGCGCGATGGTTAAGAACTGGCTTGGGACGCCAGAGGACCCCGGTT